GGCAGGAAAGCACCGAGACACACAGGGTCCTGCCAGACCAAACACTGCAGCCCTGGGAACCCACAGCGAGAGTCCGCGAGAGCTTGTCACCTCCCTGGGGAGCTTAGTGATGGTCAGTGGGTAGTTTGGATCGTTGGTCCAACGCTGGAGGGGCACTGACGAACCCTACCCTCTACCACAGGTTTCCTGAAGCTTTCCCAATTCCCCAGAGCTCACTGGGTGCATCGCCTTCACAGGACACGGGACTCTCCTGCACTGCTGCCCAGCTCTCCTCCTAATCCAAACAACTGAGAAGTCAAATTCTTTATCCTCAATCTGCACAGAAATAAGAGCCGTCTCTAACGCTCACGGGACTCTGCGCTGTATTTTAAGCGCACGGCTTTATCGCAGCAGCTTCCCCAGTCCCGCTCGCAGGGCGGCAGCAGAGCCGGCTGCACAGCGGGGGCACCTTCGCCTGAGATCGGAGCAGCGCATTGAGCAACCGGAGAACATTTGCATTGCAGGAGCATTGGGTCTCCCTTTAAAAGCTGTGTTTCCATGTTTTCATTCCCCACGCCGTCAAGATGCAACGTGATTTCCTTAAATATAAGCTGGTGCACTGTTACCATAGCTGCTGTGTAGCAGGGGGTGTGCAGTTTTACTACATCCGTCTGCTATTTCCCTGGGAAGCATCTCTACTGGCTGACAATTTCAGCCAAAGGCATTGGAATATATTAAAAATTGACAACTGCAAAGTTACTAGATAAGAATCTTTAAAATTTATTGGACTAATTGTGTTACATTCAATATTTGATGTGTTTCTCCTGGACAAAGAATTGGCATAAATACAAACAAGCCTTTGTGTGCCTTCCCTAAACAAATAAGAGATAAAGTACTAGAGACAAGGGAACATAGTTCACATCTTCATATTTACATTTTGCCTTTGCTTTACAACTTAGCGCCAGGAATATTTACAGAAAAATACAGTAAGAACAAAAAGATCATGTCTTGGCAACATACAGAAATTTATACAAATCGTATATGATTTGAAGCACATGATATCTGGCATTCTCATTTCTAATTGCTCCTGCTAAAATCCATGTGGAAAAGGTCTGTGTTTGCCTTCAAAGACATCATTCAATGATGCAATCATTAAATCACATCAAATTTGTCTGTTATATTAAAATTTAGTTCTCTCGTCTTTCTGGGCACGCAGAACCTCACAGGAAAGAAATACAGTCACCTATGGAGAACCCAGCATGTATAGCCAGTCAAGCAGCGAGGGCTGCTCTTCCCTATGGCCTCATGCACACGTCGCTATCCACATAGACACCCTAATTTCCACAGGCACCGTCCTTCCCATCTCCTGTTTGCTGTAAGCTTGTAATGCCTTTTTTAAAAGTACCTTTAAGAAAAATGCTTTTCTTTAAAAGAGAGTTTTTATTAAGGTACTAAAAATTCTGTAATTTCAACACTGTATTTAACAAGATGACGATGGTCCCCCCTTTCTGCACCGTTGAAAGGATGCCATCATTTAAAGCAGAATTACAAACCCAAACAGAAAGGTTTTATGAAAAGAGAAAGTCTCAGTTTAGTTATTATGCAACATTTGCAACTCAGCCTTTGCAGCACTATGTTACCTGCGGAGTCTAGGCTAACATCACGCTACGCATAAAGCAAGTGGTCAATACTTACCGCCTCCAACAAATAGGAATGCAAACCCAAGCCACACAAGTTGTCAAGTTGAAAACTCAATACAGCAGGTTGTGATGAAAAAAATAGTCTGGATTCTTGAGTAACATGTTCTTGCAATCACAACTGAAATAAATCTAATTTGCTCTAACCCTTTTGGGGAAAAAAGCTCAAGGCTGTACCCGGGACTAGCTGAAGCCATTGGAGTTTGGCCACTGAGTTCGACAGGACAAGGATTTCATTCCCAAATTGGTGTTTTACATTTTGTTATGAAGTCAAAGACCTCTCTGTGCACAGGGGAAGGAGGGACACTCCTTGCAGACACCTTCCACTGGCATAGGTCTGCCAGGCGCACCTGCTGCTGCAACCAGCATCCGAACCAAGTGGGATGGCAACACATTTCTGTAAACGCAACATTTTTATACTAAATTCTGACTTTCTTGAAGGTTCACCTTTCCAGATAGCAAAAACCAACAACTTATCACCAGGTCATACCACTAGTGTGTAACATGTTAACTAGCTGGTTTTACAAATCAAATTGAGCACGTTATAAATGCCTACTCCCCCGACAGCGGGATCAGCAGCAACAGTGTGTGCAAAAGTTATCTTCTTTCAAGACTTCTGAAAAGTTGCATTGCTTTCACAGTTGTTACTGCTCCAGTGGGTGCCATACCCATTTTTAGATGAACATGGAAACAGACCCAAGACTATTCTCCAGCCAAGCACAGGCCTTTTTAAAAAGTAAATTTTCAGGCAGTCCATTTGGCTATCTTGGACTTCGCAGAAAATATCCAGGGTTTCCCCAAATGCACACGTCTTTATGTTACTGACCGTACCCAAATGCCTGAAAGTAGTATCTTTTGCAGCTCATTACTACATAAACCAGTAACTTTGCATATAACATACACTTAGATATGGTATGTGGGTTTTGTTGTTACGTTATTGAAGATGTGCAGACATTTGATTGCTCAGTATGTTTATTTGTTACACATGCATTGGTCATGCCTTTTAAATCAGTGGACTGAAGTGTGTTTGGCCATTAATTAGATCCAATAGGTACACAGAAAATGTGGGTAAATTTAGTGTCCGTGCGTTAAATTGATACTGGCAAGAGTTTGGCGGAGGAATAAAGCTGTCCAAGCTTCCCTTCACAGCTTTGCCAATATACCCAAACGCTGCCTTGCAGCTCCTCCTGCTATTTGCAACCTGGGCATCACACAAGTGTGGGCCAGCCATCATGCTTACTTCTACAGTAGTTTTCTTTAAGTGGTTTCTTTTTTCCACTTGTGATTCATCTGGATCAAAATCCAGAGATCCTGAGTTGAGAGGCTAGTGTGCTTGTCCCCTGCAACAAGCACATGTCACCTAAAACCCCTTTGGTTGACATCCTGAAAGTCCTTTCACATGTATTTTTAGGGGCCTGTGTTTCCGTTAACTCTTTGTGAAAAACCACATGAAAAGACAGGAGCAGGGTATGTCCTTGGCAGGTTAAGTTGTAATGAAACAATTAAGACTGCTTCAGGTCAGAACTGTTGCAAAAAGTAACTCTGAAACATCAAAATTAAATAACTGACAGGTATTACTGCAATGCTATTAAAAAGCTAATAAAACCACTTTTGGAATAACATGAGGAGCTCCCCAAATTCCTGCTCACACTCATATTGCTTACTGGAAGGGAGAGGACATGTGCTGCTGCCAGTGATCACAAACTGCATCTAGCTGGGAGCGCCAGTGATGATTCATTACCGCAACACAATTTAAGATTGCACTGGGAGCTTGAAAGCGCTCCCAAGGCCGACAGTGCCCACTGCAGCTTTTATATTCCCAATATTAAATTCGTAGTTGCAAACACCTTTTCCCAGCACATCCTTCATGTCCTGAACACATGAAATCCACAGTCTGAAAATGAAAACTTCTGACCTAGGTGAAAGGGAACCACCGCTGCTGAGCATGAGTAAGCACAGTAGATTCAAAGTCATTGTAAGTTATAACTCCAAAGGGGCTTTCATGGAATGGCAAGTTAATGAGGGAAAAAGAAGAATTCTTGAATTTTCTTTTCGAGTTGTTTTAGTCTGTTTAACAGGAGCTTCTGAAAAGTGTTGTAGAAGCTGCGAAAACTGTTTATGCTATAAATATCAGGCAGGAGGCAGCCCCAGAATCTCAAATTTCAACCCAATGGAAGGAAAGCAAGTGATGTTTACGCTTTTTATGGAAACAGTGAGTAGGTGATACAGACACTTTAAAATAAATTAAGTAGTTGTTTAAAAATAAATTTTAAAAAAATCAAGCTACTAAAATTAAATGTGACATTTTGCAACAGATCTGAAAGTCATAGCCTTGTTTTTACATAACCAAGAGCTCTTATCTAATAACAACTTATGTTGGAAAGTCAGGTAATTTCAGGTGTCATTTGTTGTCAGCATGGCAGAAATCTCATATGTAGATGGACTTACTCCCAACCACAGATGGTACTGTAAAATACAGCATCTTGGCTCTGAATTTCATGACCTGATGTTTCCAAGCAATTTTCCTCCTCTTGCTTTTGGTACACGACTTGGTTACAAGCAGTGGAAGATCTTCTGCTGAGCTCTGAAGGGGGGCTGAAAATGTCTTTTAAGTTCTTGCAGGGATAGTTAACGCTCTGAAACAGACTCTCTCCTCAAAGGAGAGATCCTGTTTCCTTCTCCTTTAACACGTGGGTGTAGCGAGATGTCTGAAGGCAGGTTTGTTTGTATTTTGTTTTCCATCCTTATATGTAGAGATGGCTTTGTTTTGATTGTTTTCCTCTCACAGAATGAGAAACTTACAGTTCCTAATTAGTCTGGAATAGATGATTGGGTGAAGAGATTACGTTGTTAGCATCCAGGAAGACTGGAATTAAGTAATCTTTTGAGGGTAGGTGAATTAAGTCAATATCCCAACTGCAATGTTTTGGATTCATTTCTCATTCCTCCCACATGGTATCTGCTGACTTGTGCTAGAATATGATTTCCTGAATTCCAGAGGGCTGAGGAAATTTGTTGTTATTTAACTGTTTTCATTACTGTAGCCACCAAGCTCTGATCTAATTGTCCTGGAAGGATAATGACCTAGGGGTTGCAGTTCTTGAGCCCAACCTCCTGGAAAAGCGAGGTATAAAATTCTGGCTCCAGCTGCCTGTTCCGGTATTTATTGACAATGTCTGCTATCTTCTGTTTTCGGCGGACATGTGGGGGGTTGTATGAATCACTTTCCAGCCTCTTTCTCCGACAAATATTTATTACCGTCTGCCTCACTAAAAAACCTGAAAAAGAAACAACATTTGAATCAACTTTAAACAAATTCAAGTCTGCACCCCTTTGCTGGCTTCACAGCTAAAGACAATTGTGGGTTCTGTCCCATCTAGAAACACAGGGTAGATGCTCAGCACCACCAGGTCAAGAACTTTTCTCAATGAGTAGTTGATAACAGATAACCATGGCCCCCAGGCCTGTAAGGACATTTTACTGTGAAAAATGAGTAAGAAAGGGACTAAGTCAGTGCTACCCTAAACTGGCTGGAAGAGCAGGAAGATTTCTCTGCTTTGCCAGTGCCAAGCAACTGCCCGCAACAGCACACTCAGGACCAAGAGGGGAAAGAATCCAGGGCAGCTCATACAAGAATCGTAGTGCTACAGCCCCTGGCCGTGCTGCACAAGGACATGCAGAGCTCTGGTGGGCCCTGAAGTCGCTCGCCAGGGGAGCCTTCAGGATGAAAAAAAGTACTCATCGGTACTTTTTTCCAGTAGGAGTTCCAGAGCCTTCCCCTTGGAACAGGGGATGAGGAAAGACTTGATGGGTTCTGGCTGGAAACAGGTTTCTCTTCCCCTCACTGCTTTGCCACTGTTGTTACCTCTCTGTAATTCATACGGCTTTATATGGCAGGGAGGAAATGGTTGGGAACCAAAGCAGTAACCTTTGGTCAAAGCTGGCAGTGGACTTTATCCCATTTTATTCTGAAATTAAATTAATATGCCTTTAAAGAAGTAAGTGTCCATTAATCCCCTTGCTGTTTCACAAGTACTTTCTTACAGGGAGAAACAGTGTCTTATTTAGAGGAGTTGATTCCTGACTGCACCCAAACTACATCTGCTGAACTTAGAGACGAGACAAATTTAATTATATTAATAGTCCTGATGCAGCTGAAAAAACAGTCCAACTGTAGGAAAACACACCTGATTCCTTTTCAGTACAAGCCATTGTCATCAGTTGAATTCACAAATGTTATTTAAAGGCCCAGTCTAGCTTCAATTTTGCCATCGCTGAATTAAGCATGCAAAAACCAGAACCTGAAAGTAATCCCCAACAGACCCCTACAACGTTAGTTTTATGATTATGTACAAGTATCCTAATGTTCGTTTATTCATTTCACTCTGTCATGTGAATTGCTCTCACTGGAGTGAGATTTCCAGTCACTGAAGCTACAGTAGCACCGATATGAAGACAGATCCATTGATCCATCCAGGAACACAGGAAAAGGCAGATAGCACACACAGACCCCTGTTAACACATGCCTGCGTAGTAGGTTAAGCATTTTTATTGAACACATTAGAAAATCCTCAATTGCTGCAGCTTTTAATCACTGTCTGGCTTCTAAAACAGAAGGAACACACACAGCATGCCAGCACCATCAAAAAATTCAGTAGTACCCTCTGGCAGTCAACTAGCACCAGCACCTTGGTTCTCAATGCTAAATGTAACAATGTTACATTTCGGATCTCTTAACTAGATAACAAGCATTTACCTTTTCCTTCCACCATTACTAGTTCCAACCCTTCACTTCTCTCCCACTACAGTTGCAGTGGAGCCCTGCTGCGCTGTCAGCTAAGTGCTGACCGCCTGCTCCCTCTACTGTTCCTGCTACCACTGTTGCTGCAAAAAGCATGTTTTTATTTTGTTCTGCCATGCCCAATACTTTTTCCAATGAAAGATTCCAGACCATGTATTTTGCAGATATATTATTACTTCAAAAAAAAAAAATCAAAACATGAGTGTTCCTAAATATCTTTAGCTTACCAAGAGCTCTCCTACTGACTATCATTCCATCCACCAATGGGATAACCATATTGAATTTCCCAGTTGCTCCTTGTAGTTTTATCCTGAATAAGCCGGTGTTTAAAGGATGGATGAAGATCACAGGAACTTCCTTCTCAGGAATGGTAGATCTTAAGGGAAAAACCACAACTGTTAAATCAGTTTTATAGCACTGTTTCAATTAATCTATAGATGAAAAGTGACCACTTTAAGTGTTAAAAGAATGTTAAAAAATGTCTTGTGGCTAAACCAGCAGGACTCCTGTGTCTTCAGGACTTTAGAAGGGTTATAGCAACTGTACTGTTTTATGATCTGTTACCACAGAATTTGAGAGTCCTGCAGACAGGGCTTTAAGCCTCACAACATGCATGCAGCATTAACTGCCTCACAAGGGAGGGAGGCTAATCACAGACTCAAGATAAAAATTACACATTTTCTGTTCCTTAATTTATGTTTAAACTGCAGTGATATGAAAAGCTCTTTCATTTTTTCAACAAAAAAATCCACTGAGGAAACTCATCTGTCTTTTTTAACATGTCTGCCTAGAGTTCTCAGGGTTACCTGTGAAAGCTGAAGAATGCAAATAATCTCAGTCATGACTTCTTCTGAAGTGCAGCCTAAACTGTTGTCCACAAGAATCAAGAAAAATAATGAAAATAAGAGCAGTCTTACCTTAGGGAAGTGCTACTATTGGTTGTAGTTTCCACACCAGTGCTAGTCTCAGACACCAGATCAGGAAGGGGGAAGTTTTCTATAAGAAGAGGATGCACTAAATAAAGTTTATCTACCCCAAGTTTTTGGGTTTTTTTTTGTTTTGTTTTTGAACAAAGAAAGATTATTTATCATCAGTCAAAACCATGCAGTCCTCAAACATTTATACCATGGATGTCCTTGCACTGCTAGTGATGCAAAGTCTGTCTTTGTTTTTAAGCTTAAGCATTCATGGAGTGTATAGACACACCTCAGACATCCTGTGCTCAACAGATCAGGTAACACACGTCCCATACCCTCAATTCTCCCCATCCCAAAGGTCAAAATCTCTAGAGGTACAGTGAAAGCAGGAAGGAGGTGAAGTACTTCAATCACAAAAAGAGCCTTCAAATTATTATTCAACAGCATCTTCACCTATCCACAAGTAACCAGCCTCAAGAAGAGTGCTGGAAATTTCAAACTCTACCGCCGCTCACATCTACAGTTCCCTTGAGCCCTGCTCCAACAAACATGGTATCGCTCCTCAAATCCAAGCTCTGTAGGTCCTCACCATAACCTACAACTCCGCTGCCATGCACTTAGTAACATGTAACTGGATAATGAAGGTGCAAGAGGAGGAAGTAACAACTCAGATCCCTGGAAGGGGATATGGCACTTCCCATTACCTTGTTTAGGGGCAGGAACAGAGAGATGTGAATCATTCACAAAAGTACAGTTCAGACAGCAGGACAGTAACGACACCTCTTCCAGCAGAAAGAGTATAATGCCCAAAAACACCTTTTGCCATCAGAGCTGGGATGCTAAGAGTACACAAAAGCTGGAGCTAGCAGAGGGAGAGCATGGAAGGCCATGGAAGTACTTTGAGATGGAGCAAGAGGGCGGGCAGGCAGTTGGCACAGGGGCGATACCCTAGACTACAAAGTGACAGCTTTTCCACTGTCCAGATTCAAAGATGTAACAGAAGCATAAGGCAAAAGCCAAGAACATAAGGAGCATAAGGCAAAGCTTCTGTGCTAGGAGCCACTTTCAAGAGCCCCTCCCGCAAAATCCAACTGCCACGCTTACTGAGGCTCACAAACTCATTTCTTCAGCTTCAGGCCCAGAGCTTTGGGAGATTCCTATGGCTGCTGAAAGCAGCAGCCAAGCAGAAACATGCATGTGTAGCACAGTTGCTGCCTCTGCAGTGAGCTGGCCTCAGCTGCCACTCAAGAAAGAAGTGGGTCAGGGACACCAGTTCGGGAACTGAAGTGCCTGAGGGACTCCTGGAGCTAAGGGAACACCCTCTGGGCCAATGTCTTGATAAGGAAATGATGCTGCAGAACTTGCTGTCCACCTCCTGATGCCAGTAAAGCTCTGAGGGATGTGCTGTGGACAAGGTGCTCTCCTTGAGAATTTACACCTAACACTTCACAGGAAGCTCCCTCTTGATCACTCACATTCTCTTGGTTGCTTTCCTCTGGGAGGAGCTAAGGGCTTAATTAAGGTCCACCCTTGCTGCCAGACTGGGAACCAGGATTAGAAATCAAAGATAGAATAAAGTATCAGTTACTGGCCAGTGTTACAGACTCTGCTGGGCTAGGCCAGTACAGAGGCTCTTGCATAGCACTAAAGCCAGGCCACGGCTTAGAACCAGCACACAGAAAGCTCTTGGGGACAAAGGACTCCTCAAGCCTAGTGGCCAGCTGCCCATCATTGTCCATGCCTGTAACAGGATGAGCAAAGCTGGGTCTCTCTCAGGTTAGCCAGTACCCAGAGTCAGAGAAAAAACATCAAACTAAGAAACATTAAATTGCATGAGGAGCAGGACCCTGCCTGAACAAAGGTGCAGAAAGGAAGCTGGACTGCATAGCATGAAATGGGCACCCCGAGCACAGAATAAATGAGCCCTCCAACTAGAAAGAACACAACAGAAAGTTTCAAAGGTACCATCAAACCAAGATGGATGCTTCAGCACAGAAGCAGCAGGTGGCAGGAGTAATTTTTTTTTAAAGGAAGAACAACAGATTCACTCTGAGGAGACAGCAGCTGAGGGGAACTCAAAAACAGGGGTGCACACTTGCCTTGTGTGTTAAGCTTAAGAAGGTGCCTGATGGCATTTCACATGTACTGCCAGAGCTAAAATAGTCTCCAGACCTACATGCCACTGATTCATGTACACTCCATGGACCACCACTCAAATACCAAAGAACTGTTTTAGAATCTTAAAAGTGTGGGTTACAGACATTAATAAGGATTAGCATTTTACAGAGGAACGGAACAGAGTTTTTCCTCTCGTTCCTGCCCTGTTGTTACTTTAGCGAACAATACAAACTTCTACGCACCTATGTCATCATAACGTTCTACCCAGACCACATACACTTTGGTTTCAGGTCCCATCGGTGGAATGGTCCGGCCCTGAGGCATCCTTTTGGATCTGGAAGTAGGACTGAGCTGTTTTGAACACAAGGGAAGAGTAGCATTTGCAAACATCATGAGTCCAGTAATGCATCCCACAAGCATTTCCACAGTTGCTCCTTAGTCCTTCAGATCTCAGACAGGTACAACCTCTGCCAACTACTGAGATGGGGCAGCTACAGTGGAACTATCCACTGAGAAACAGTAAACTGGGTCTCCACAATATTTATATTCAACACAAATTCATAAATTCAATCTTTAAAAACTGGTTCAAGTTTTTCTTAATCTTAAATCAGTAATTAAATACACATTTGGAAGTGAATTCTATACAAGAAATAAGCAGTTGTAAATCCTTTGCTAAGTGTTACAGCAGTTCATGGTTTTCTGCTTTCCTACCATACAAAAGCAACTTCGCATCTGATACTTCAGACATAACTGACATATACTAATTTAAACTGGGTAGGTATGAAAAGCGTTCATGTCTATCCATCCTAAATTTCCAAGCATGGATTCAAGTCTGAATTACTTTGTAAATACTGCATTTCAAGATTTCAGTATGCAGAGTATTATGACTTAGCATGTTTAAGTTTTACATTTCATTAATATCATCTTGCAATCTCCTACTACAGGTACAAATTCTGGCAGGACCAAAGCAGATGTTAAAGATTAATGACTAGGGACAAGTAGCTCCAAATGCTAGGAAACCAATCATATACTATCAAAAAATGCTGTAGCATTGCCAGTGTGCTTCTTGAAAAAAAAAAGGAAGCATTGCCAGTGTGCTTCTTGAAAAAAAAGGAAAAAAAGAATGCAATTTTTCAATACAAGTTTTGCCTTACCCGCTGGGAGGGATTAAGATTGTCTGTATGATTGGGGAAGAGTTCAAGTGTCAGAGACTGCTGCTTCAATATTCCTGGCAGCAGATCCATGTTGGAGTCGCTTTCTTGGTCAGAGATATTGCTTTCCAGTGAATCAGCTGTAAGCCAGAAGAAAGATGGGTTTTGTCTTCTGCCAAAAAACTTAAGCTGTCATCAGATGTAAGGTTTTGAAACTAAAAAAGGTTGTAAGGTTCTTGAAACTAAACATACATAGATTTACGGTAAAGTCAATCATAGAATCATTAAGGTTGGAAAAGACCTCTCAGATCATCGAGTCCAACCGTCAACCCACCACCACCATGCCCACTAAACCATGTCCCTAAGTGCCTCATCTACACGTCTTTTAAATACTTCCAGGGATGGTGACTCCACCACTTCCCTGGGCAGCCTGTTCCAAGGCCTGACAACTCTTTCAGTAAAGAAACTTTTCCTAATGTCCAATATAGCACTCAAAAGCAGGAAGAGGATTCAGCAGTGGACAACTGCCAGTTATTCCAGAAACGGACTGCCATTAAAGCACTCCCTATGGATTTAGAAGTGGCCCATCCATTTCCTATAGAATAGTGTCTCCTCCTTCCTATGCCTATCATTTCTTCACAGCCCTTTTATTCCAGGGAACTTTTGCACACAGGTTTTACTGTGCAAAAGATGTCGTGAAAGCTGTTGCTCACCTACATAGCAGTTGTGCACATGCTCCTCCATGTGCTGCAGGAGCATGTCATCAAGACAGGACAGAAAAAAAATAAGCATCACCAATTGATAGTGAACCATACATCCAACCTAATGCACCCAGGGTAACAGCAATACTGCTGTGCAAGACTGGACATGTATTGAGCCTTAGACTCAGAAAAAGGGGCACAGAACAGATACCACCTTTGGAAGGAGTCTAAGGATTAGGATGTTACAATTTAAACATCAGTAGCTTTCTGACAAGGATCTTGCTAGACACACTACTAGTTAGCTTATTTAGGTTCTGCTCCTGAAAAAGCTCTCTAACAAAAAAATGTTTTGGTTTTTATAAACAGCATGTACAAAGTGATCTTACTTAGGGACTCCACTGGTGATGGGACAACAAAAGCTATTTCTGTCAGGGCATCTGCATAATACAGCACCTTCTTCTGCCCATTGAAGATACTTGCCCCAACATCTTCTGAAATAATTAGATCATCTGAAATTGGACATAAAAGGAAAGTTTAGTCAAAAGGAAGCTCAACCTCTTTATACATTGCCTCAGGAGAAGACCTTCAAATACAAGGTGCAATCAATGAGAAGAAATCACACAAATCTCATTTTAAAATGAGAAGATTCCACAGTCAAATCTCATGGCTAACAACAATTTTCAGATAAACATTTTTGTTGTCTTGAAGGAAAAAGCATTTTGGGTTGGGAGAGGATTTATTTTGAACATATTTCCATTGTACTGCATACCCTATTTGCCTTGGATTGAGCAGTCTAGTAAGCACATCTGCCACAAGAATTCATCTAGTAGCTATTTCAACCATTCCCTCATTCAGTTAGTCATAAAATTTCCAAAGGATTCTAGCATTTATAACTTCAGCCTGATACTACTCAGGAATTCAAGCCAGTTTCTACAGACGCTCCTTTTATGTCTTTTCTTCTGCCAAGGAGAGTTAGAAAAAGGCTCTCTTGGATCAAATCCAATGCAAGAAAGCTCCTCCTTCTCAGCCGCCATTTATTCCCTCATCGCAGTTGGCCAGTACATCAGGCCTTCACAGTACAGAGAGAAAACAATTCTTTGGTAGAGCCATGCTGTAAGTAAATTACAGCACACCCCCACCCCTTTTCCTTCTCCATACTGCCTCCAGAAAGACTAGCAAGGACTTTAAGCTGAATTATTTCTCTGATCCAATTTACAGAAGGGTTCCTGGAATAGCTGTCTCAGCAAAACCAATGGAGCAGTGAAATTCAGCATGCTGACAGACAGGTGGCCAGAGGCACAGGAGCCTCTGAGCCATGCTTCACCACCATACCTCTCAGGGAGCAGCACCACAACCCAAACCCAACTGTTTAAGAACTTCTTTGCTTTTGGGGGTGTGCAGGGAAACAAAATCAAAGCATATGCCTGTAAATTTATTTTAATCACGTCTCCCTGGAAGCTATTCTAGAATCATTTAGGTTGGAAAAGACCTTTAAGATCATCAAGTCCAACCGTTACTTTAACACTGCCAAGTCCACCACTGAACCATGTTCCTAAGCATGACATCTATACGTCTTTTAAATACCTCCATTCCCTGGGCAGCCTGTTCCAATGCTTGAGAACCCTTTTGGTGAAGAAATTTTTCCTAACGTCCAATCTAAACCTTCCCTCGCACAACCTGAGGCCATTTGCTCTTCTCCTATCGCTTGTTACTTGGGAAAAGAGACCGACACCCACCTTGCTACAACCTCCTTTCAGGTAGTTGTAGAGAGCGATAAGGTCTCCCCTCAGCCTCCTTTTATCCAGACTAAGCAACTCCAGTTCCCTCAGCCGCTCCTCATCAGACTTGTGCTCTAGACCTTTCACCAGCTTCATTGCCCTTCTTTGGGTGCGCTCCAGCACCTCAATGTCCTTCTGGTAGGGAGTGGCCCAAAACTGAACGCATGCGAGTTACGGCCTCACCAGTGCCCAGTACAGGGGCACGATCACCTCCCTACTCCTGCTGGCCACACTATTTCTGATACAGGCCAGGATGCTAGACTCCTGCATGGGTTTTTAATCACCAGAGCCATCCACAAAGAGAAAATACATTTAACAAAATAAATAGCTTTATAGCAAATATAGCTTTATTATATAGCAAATATAGCTTTATTATATAGCAAATAGTCACAGCAAAGATTGGAGGAGAAAACAAAGCAAGCAATCTTCACAAGTTGTTCCAAGTCTACTTTAAATCTACTATTTCAGTTTTTTAACCATTGCTTGCTAAAGGTACGACTCCACTCATGGATTTTTCCAACAACAGAACCAGATTAGAAGTAGCCCTCCCTCCCTCCCATCCCTGAATACTTTTTCTGTTCCTTTTTCCCCCAATTTGTTGAATTCAGCTATTTGGTGGTCTGTGATTTAATCTAAATGGCTGAAAAAAATCTAATTTAAAAAACCCACATTGAAACAGGTTACCTCACTAATTCAGGGCACTGCCTTCCACACAGCCATACTCACAAAGCCAACCACAAAGGGAAGGGAGAGGGCTCTGCCTCTGAGGAAAGCACAGTCTGACCCTATCCTCAAAGGAAAATTAAATCAAGACCTGGCCATTTTGTAACCTCTCCTGACTTGTTCAGAGGAAGCCATGCCTCTGTTCTTTTAACCTTTCCCCAACATTTCAAGCCTTCTATCATTTGTAGTGTTATTTTACAAACAAATAGAGAAGCCTTTAGTTGGCCGCAGTTACAGGTGAAGAGCATTTCTAAGTTATAGTGAAGGGAAAGCAGAGCAAGAGCACTGCTTAAGCAACTGCAGCAGTAATGGTGCAAATGCCAGATCAAAGACATTGAACAAGCTGGACCAGCCTGTTCAATGCCTTTGGCCCACAGCAGAAGGCTGAGGCTCTGATCACCAAGAGAAGGGCTGGCCCTTGGAGTAGTTACCATGAACCACACTGAAACCACCCCAGACGCTATCAGAATCCCAGGTAATCTGATTAAGTTATTCAAGGCAGAAACTAACCCAACCTCCAGTTCACCACCCTGGGATAGCAATTCACTACCCTGAGGATCATTTTGGTTGACAGAATGGGGAGAGGGTGGTGTAGGACAAGCCCAGAGGAGGAGTCGCTCTAGTGGAAAAAAGCAGAGTAAATTAAGCAGGACAGAAGAGCTGTGTGTGGGCTCCAACCACTGTGACCTACAAACAGCAGCTTGTTTTCATTACTTCCTACCAACCATGATTACAAGGCATTAAACATCTCATTTTAATCTACTTACAGAACACAACAAAATCGCACAGTATTTCAGGTCTATTTGCCAATATGCAGCACAATTTGTATCCAATTTCACCTGAATACTAGTTTTGGATAATATATTAAAGACTCATTAAGTCTGCTAAAAATATAGCACAGAGGTATTTCTTGCTGAGGCTACTTCCTCCCACCAACATACAGACATTAGTTTTGCTCATTTTGACTTGAAGCTTAATCTAATATTTACACATTCCTTTCTAGTAAACATCGGCATCTATCTGAAAAAAAATATGCAAGTGCTCAGATAGGTATCCAGGAAAAAGAAATTTTAAATTTATTGTCTCCTAAAGGAGCCTAAACATTTTAATTTAATATTACACCATTTATTATGTCTTACCTTGTTCAGGTCCCTCTTCATCACTGCAGCTATTGATTGACCAGCTTGTTGAGACATGGCCAGTCCACCCAGGGTGCTTCCCAACATTAACGGACCAGCCAAGAGACAGCAAGAACTCCAGGAAGTGTGGCTGAACAATTCTGGAAGACTCCATGTTCTTCAGGATCTGAAACAACCAGCAGCACCATGGTTAAGTACAGGAGACTCCAGGAAGCAGCTCTCTTCCTCCCCACTTTTTTAATTAAAATTTTGTGTCACCAACATGGTTTCGCCCAAATATAGCTATTCAGCAAGCCTGGAACCCCAAACTCTCTACACGGACGCTACTCCCTGCTGCCCAGCATCCTCCCATCCTGTTTGGCAATGATGGCAGAAAGACAAGTTGATCAAACAGGACCTTGCCAAAGCCTGTAAGACAGTTAATCAAACTGCTAGAAATGGCAATTTTGGATTTATCCACTCATCAGGCATAAACCACAGAACTGTTCAATGCAGAATCTGCATTAGCACCAAATGTAACATGAGAATTTTCTGGACAATTTTCACTACAAAACTGAGGTGAAATTTTAGGAGAAAGGTATTTTATCACTACTCACCTGTACATGACATACAGTAATTTAGAAGGCAGGCCTCACCGCACATTAATTTATGAAACAGATTTTGCAAATTTTTTTTCAGGATTGAGCATGCACTTTAATCAAACGTCACGCTGTACAGTTCACTTTAAACCTTAATCCTACTTCGTATAAAGATCTGGGATGCTTCCACATCCAAAGGCAATTTTTATCCCATTGTGAGCAAGTGAAAGTTGAGACCTTCACCAAATAGCATGCAGGGAGACATGGATGATTCGTGATTTGGTCTACCAGAATCATTGGGATTTGTGGAACAGACAACGCTGTGCAACACATCCATCCTTTCTGGGCCATGTGAGAATTTGTTTTGTGGCAGGAGGGTCTTTGATTTTGGTTAGTGCAGGGGCAGTACACTGGGACACAGGCTCCAGCAGAGCAGAAACTGCAGGGACAGGAGTTGGAAGGAAAGCTTCCAGGCAGGAGGCTTCTCGTATCCACATGGTCCTGGCACCCCAACCTAATGCCTCGTGCAATATTCAACAACTAGACACGCTGCATTGAAATATTATATTATTCTCATTACTGAGCACATTGAAGTCATAGCTATGCTTCAGAATGAATCGAGATAAGTGCAATTTAGAAGACAATTTCAGAAAATAGGCAAGCTCAGGCTTTATACAACTATATGGTTTTATATCTGAGCCCATTCAAAAAAAGACTTTACAGGAAAGCAAGGACAAGCAGGTATTTTCAAAGGACATTTAATGATGTGAAGTATAACGATGTAAAAATTGTGTGGGCAGTTTCATTACCCTATATAAATAAATGCCATGAGACACTTCTCAACTGCAAAGCCTACCACCACAGAAAAATATTTGTGCCTAATGCAGTAACCAGCAGGCTAGATGCCACATTCTGGGCTGTGCAGCATCAGATAAAACATAGCTGACACCACTCCTTATGAAAGGACAGGAGGTCACCTCTCAGAACAGAATGAGGTCCTGAGCTGAAGTGGCACGAACTCACACACACAGAGATGGGCCACGCAGCCAGCCCTGCTCTAAACAGAAACCATGTCACGACTTGGCTTTGATCTCCTCCTCTCTTGATTGTTAACATTGAAAACAAAACGGGACAGAAATAAGTCACAGGTCTTTTCAAAGATGGGAGCAGTATCAGTATCTCACTCAGCTCAGGTCCATAGAGACAAGTATGTTATTAACTTGACTGCTACTGTCACTTCGCACAACCTGAAAGGCTTAGGAATCACAGCAAGATGTCCGGGAATCTTGAAGCAGAAGTGGCATCTTTATACTGTGTCTAAAAATGTCCAGAATCTCCCAAATACAAAATTTTCTTAAATCTACGTGGCAAAACACATGCTAATTGGGTTTCCAAAGGCCAGCAAGTTCTGCAGGACTAAGTAATTTCATCTGTCTAAATCCATAAAAGCATATAAGCATCAGATGGGAAAAAAGCATTCTGCTAGCTCAGCAAGAGCACATTTCAGCTGGAAGGCAAACCTTGTATATCTTGTTTCATAGCTGACTTTGGAGATGGAAAGACTGTGTACTGGCTACTCTGAACTTCAACTTGAAAACTCACAAACATCATGATCCTGGTTTCAAGAATTAGTGTATTCCACACAGAAGTAGAAGGTGCTACAGTGTTCTGTCAACTGTACATTCACAGTAACACGAGGACATGGCACAATAATTTATTATGGAAGCTACGTTTCTACTCTTTACTATGAGAATTATGAACGGAATGAGGAGAAGGTACTATAGAAACAACCTTTTCTAAAGAGCCCATAAGCCGTCTTAGTGAGTTTTTACATCACATCTAAAGAAGTCACGATTTAGATCTGCACAAATTAACCTGATTATACTGTTTACATTCAAATGCAATTAGGTTAATGTAAGGACTTACAAAACAATAATACTTTCTTACTTGCAGAAAGTTTTTCATTCCTTTAACACACGTTTAACATCAGAATCAAATCAAACTACCTGGACATTGCACATTGCTGGAACAAACTGCAACCTTCCCTGCAAGCCGAGCCAACAAATCTGAAATGCATTTCTGATATGAAACTTTGAACTCTACGAATAAGGACAATAAGGACAGAACAGATGACAAAAATACTATTAATGTTTTTAATATATATTAAATATATTACATAATATATTAAATATATT